TTTTTGTTTTTGTAGCCTCTCTAATCTCCCTAAGCATTTCACAGTCACCGTCACCATCCTGATCAGGTGGTCGGTAGTATATTCCTATTGCTATACTCTTATTATTCAAGCATGGAGTTTCCATCCATAGCAATGCTATGATACTGTTAGATTCATTTAAGACTTTTACTATTTTTGACTGTATGCTTTCTTTTTTTCCATATAATGCCACTCCCCCACCAACATGACCTACTCTGTCATTCCTATATGTTTTGTACCCTGGTATTACTGTGTTCCATTGATTGTCCTTGTTCCACCAAGTTTCTGTGATGCCCATTATATCAGTATACTCATTTAATATCAGGCACTCAAGTTCACCCATCTTAGATTTCATGCATTTGTATACAAGCACTTATAAAATGTGTCACTATTTAGTTGTCTGCCTTCATGTGATGTAATTGAATGGGACTCTTTTTTTTTTTTTCTTCTTTTTTTCATTTGGCTGTCTCTTCAGCTCCTACCTGTACTCTATCAACTTGTATCCTCTCCTCTTTACTAAGATATAGAGTATACCCTTTAGTAAATCCTCCCTTAAGGAATATGTTTGCCCGAACTGTGTGCTTCTCTACATCTGTCGGCTTTCCCCCCAACCCTTAGTTTTAAAATGCCACTATGACCTTTTTATTTTTACATGCTAGTAATCTGGCTAGTACATCCTTCCTGTCTAGGCTCCTCTGTTCGCAAAAGGTTCTCCAGTTCCTAATAAACCTAAGTCCTTCCTCTGAACATGATCATCTCATCCACACGATGAGATCCTTCAGTTCTGCCTGTCTAACTGGCGCTGTGCATGGCATTGGAACCATTTCAAGAATGCCACTGGACTTTAATCTCCTACCTAGTCACCTAAATTTGGCTTCTAGGTCCTCTTTCCTACCTTTCCCTATGTCATTGGTACTTAAATGTACCACGACCATCAGCTCCTCCCCAGCACTGCACATACATCTGTCTAGATGTCTTGAGAGGTCTGCAACCTTGGCACCCAGCAGGCAATCCACCATGTAGTTCTCCCAGTCATCGCAAACTCAACTATCTATATTTTAATGGTCAAATCCCTGATTACTATTGCCTGTCTCTTTCTAATAACAGGGATCCCCTCCCCTGGAGAGGTATCCTCAGTGTGAGGGGGGCATTTTGAGGGGGGCATTTATTACTCTAAGTTTATAGTCTAATAAACATTCTATCTAGCTTTCATGCTCCCTCTCTAAACTCCTTGTCAAAACTCCCCTGTTTGCTGCTCCTGTTCGCTATCTCCTCTGGTTGCTTAGGAGCTGGCTGTCAGTGTCTGTGTTCCACAAGTAGGGACTTTGTGCCAGGTACTGTACACTTCTCCCAACATGTCTACACCCTTTGAAATCTATTGACCAATTTACTTTTTCCTTTCAAAATTGAAATCAGTATGGGTGACTTCTGCAGTGTTTAAGGGCCTGATTCTCCAGGGGCCTTGTATAGCCATTTACATTATGGGCTCAATTCTCTACTAACACTGTAGAGTAATCAGTTGAGTAATACTGGTGTAAATGAGAAGGAAAATCCAGCCCTACCATTCTGATTTGATAGCATCACAGATGCAAATCACTACACAAAATACAAGGCAGGGGAGAGACTGAAGCCCTGAAAGTGAGAAGGGAATAATCCCGAGATTAAAATGACCAACTGGAAAAATTTACCAGTGCTTTGTTCAGTCTAGTTTTAAATGCATTTGGCTTCCATCCTTTTCCTTTGAAGGCTATTGCTCATTGTATCAGTTCTTATCCTTAGCAAATTTCTCCTGATATTCAGCCACATTTTCCTTTTGATTAATGCATCCCACCCTTTTTGATATTATTGTACCAGCAGCCCTAGGCCCTGGTCTTGCGAAGACTTGCGCGCACACACAGGAGTAGTCCCATATGAATTGCAGTTATGCATGTGCATAGACCTTTGCAGAACTGAGGCCTTAAAGATAAACTCCAAATCCTCTAAAAAAGGATTAATGTCCTTTATGCTCTTTTATGATGTATAAAGACTGCTTAAATCAGTGGTTCTCAATCCACAGCCTGCAGGCCGCTTGCAGCCCAATCAGCACACAGCTGCGACCCTTGTGACATGCTCATGGCCATACAGTGTGTATATATATTGTAAAAAGCAACAGAGAGTCCTGTGGCACCTTTAAGACTAACAGATGTATTGGAGCATAAGCTTTCGTGGGTGAATGCCCACTTCATCGGATGCATCTTAAAGGTGCCACAGGACTCTCTGTTGCTTTTTACAGATCCAGACTAACATGGCTACCCCTCTGATACTATATATATTGTGTGGATGTGGCCCACATAACAGAGAGAGTAGCATATGCGGTCCAGAACGGTAAATAGGTTGAGAACCACTAGCTTAAATTCTTCTGTCAGTTTCCTCCTGCCACTCCTCTTTCCCTCTTGGAAGTATCATATCCTCTCTTCCTTGTGTGGGTCTCTCTGTGCAGCAATTTTTGTTTATGTTGAGGCACTGTAAAACTGTAGAAATATTTGTAGTGCTAGCACAGAGAAATCACAGTAATTCCACTGTGTTCAGTGTTCTCAGTGCTTGTATCCCTGGGGAAGGATTTGCCCGGTAATTTTTATTGGAACCTATAAAATACTCTCCAAATAGTACAGTTCAGGAAAAAGAACAGTGCATCTTTTCATATATATCGTTAATAGTTTTTATTAGGACTGTCGATTAATCGCAGTTAACTCACGCGATTAACTCAAATAATTAATCGCAATTAATTGCACTGTTAAACAATAGAATACCAATTGAAATGTATTAAATATTTTTGGATGTTTTTCTACATTTTCAAATATATTGATTTCTGTTACAACACAGTGTTCACTTAACATTATTATTTTTTATTACAAATATTTGCACTAAAAATGAAAGACAAAAGAAATAGTATTTTTCAATTCACCTCACACAAGTACTGTAGTGCAAGCTCTTTATTGTGGAAGTGTAACTTACAAATGTAGATGTTTGTTTGTTACATAACTGCACTCAAAAACAAAGCAATGTAAAACTTTAGAGCCTACAAGTCCACTCAGTCCTACTTCTTGTTCAGCCAATCGTTAAGACAAACAAGTTTATTTACATTTACAGGAGATAATGCTGCCCGCTTCTTGTTTACAATGTCACCTGAAAGTGAGAACAGGCATTCGCAAGGTATTTACGTGCCAGATATGCTAAACATTTGGATGCCCCTTCATGCTTCGGCCACCATTTCAGAGGACATGCTTCCATGCTGATGATGCTCGTTTAAAAAAAAGTGTGTTAATTACATTTGTGACTGAACGCCTTTGGGGAGAATTGTATGTCTCCTGTTCTGTTTTACCTGCATTCTGCCATATATTTCATGTTATAGAAGTCTCAGATGATGACTCAGCACATGTTCGTTTTAAGAATGCTTTCATAGCAGATTTGACAAAATGCAAAGAAGGTACCAATGTGAGATTTCTAAAAATAGCTACAGCACTCAACCCAAGGTTTAAGAATCTGAAGTGCCTTCCAAAATCTGATTGGAACGGGGTGTGGAGCATGCTTTCTAGAAGTCTTAAAAGAGCAACTCTCCGATGCAGAAACTACAGGGATTGGTCCTGCTTTGAGCAGGGGGTTGAACTAGATGGCCTCCTGAGCTCCCTTCCAACCCTGATATTCTATGCTCTATACAGAACCTGAACCACCAAAAAAATGAAAATCAACCTTCTGCTGGTGGCATCTGACTCAGATAATGAAAATGAACATACATTGGTCTGCTCTGCTTTGGATTGTTTTCAAGCAAAACCCTTCAGCAGCATGGATGCATGTCCTCTGGAGTAGTGGTTGAAGCATGAAGGGACATATGAATCTTTAGCGCATCTGGCACGTAAATATCTTGTGACTCCAACTACAAAAGTGCCATGCGAACGCCTTTTCTCACTTTCAGGTGACATTGTAAACAAGAAGCAGGCAGCATTATCTCCTGCAAATTGTAATGAAACTTGTTTGTCTGAGCGATAGGCTGAAGTAGGACTGAGTGGAGTTGTAGGCTCTAAAGTTTTACTTTATTTTTTAATGCAGTTTTTTTTGTATATAATTTTACATTTGTAAGTTCAACTTTCATGATAAAGAGATTGCACTACAGTACTTGTATTAGATGAATTGACAAATACTATTTCTTTTGTTTTTTACTGTGAAAATATTTGTCTTCAAAAATATGAAGTGAGCATTGTACACTTTGCATTCTGTGTTGTAATTGAAATCAATATATTTGAAAATGTAGAAAACATCAAAAATATTTAAATAATGGTATTCTATTAAGAGCGCGATTAATTGTGCGATTAATTTTTTTAATTGCTTGACAGCCCTACTTTTTATTCTTCTATAGTTGTAATAATGACCAGTTAGCAAGGAATTAATTCACAGTATCTCCCTACCTTTATTTGCACTCACTAGAAAAATGTGTTGTTTATAGTAAAGGAGGTAGTCACAACATGTATTAAGTTGTAATTAGCTAAAATTGAATGGTTTCTTTCCCCTGCCTTACACACACACACAAGCATTGCCCACTCTAGCCTCTTCTCTCTATCTCTGCTTGCTCCACTCCCACCGCTGTCTCCAACCTGGATTAGCAAATTTCTGGGCATTGCAGAAAGTGGATCCGCATTGTAACTCAGGCAAAAGGCACAGTAAGGGCAGCAGCTTCATTGGGGCTTCACTTGTCTAATGGGCATGTGCGTATGACCATTAAGGCAATAGGAGGAGGGTGAGCATGTGCAGAAGCAAAAAGGGCATGTTTGGAGGGTGGGCAGATTCTGCTGTTACACCAGCCCTGTACCTCTCAGCACTAAAGATTTTCATGCACGTGTAACTTTGTAACTTCAAGTTTTTATGGGCATGGATGCATTGCTGATAAACTAAATAGCTACACAGATAATGACTTGTTTGGGATGCCTTCTTTTTTTTTTTTTCTTCAGAATCTTGCTTCACAATACCTAAGACCATCAAGAGAGACAAAGGGTCAAGGTAAGACAACCTGTCTGCTGGTCTTTTTTGGATATTGATGCAAACTATAAACATCTGTGGTGTTTTAAAATATTGCGTGTTAGATTCTCTGATATGTAATATGTTCTTCTCCAGCACTCCCCTCCCTCCCCCCAACCTGCTTCATCCACTGTCCCCTTCCAGCACCACTCCCACCCTACTTCATTCCCCTTTACACCTGACTTTCACTAACAATCCCCTTGTCTTCCACCCATCTTCACTCTCCTGACCTGCTTCAGCCTCTCCTCCTTGCCCTCTCCTCTTCCCACTTACTTGTTGGCATCCTCATCTCTCTGGCCTGCAAACCCTCTCGCACCACTGACCTGCTCCAGCATCTCTCCAGTCTCCACTGACCTGCTTCAGCAACCCTTCCTCCACTCTCAACCTGCATAAATTATGCTATAGGCATTTCAGGAAAACTCAGAACTAGGGACAGAGTCAGGGCAGCATCTTTATTGTCCCAATGGGCATATGCACATAATTTGCATGAGACTTTTGGGGCAGTCTCAGGAGTCTGGACATGTATTTGGATTCTGTTCTTTCTTTTTAGTACCTCACTCCAACTTATCTAAGAACAGCAAGACAGTCATCAGGACAAGGTAAGACAACTTGTGTGCTACGGGTTTGTGAGAGTTAATTCAAAAGTATAGGCATATTTGCAAGTTGATTCATTGTGACCTGTGTTAGAATTTGGTGTGCAGTTTTCAGGCACATGTCATGGGCAGTGAAAACAAATGGCTTTACTTCTGTGAGCACAAAAAGATGTGCCGGTATGAGTATCCAGAATATACAAGTTAAAAAAAAAAAAAGGCTTATTTTGACTTTCTTCAAGGAAATTTTGTCAATGAATAATTTTTAGTTGCACATTGATCTTTGAATGAATTATACTGCTTTTTCACTAGTAGTGATCAAGTTATTGACAGAATGATTCTTTCTTTAGCATACAGTACAAAACTGCCTTAGCTGAACATGGGAGGCTATGAGCAGTGTGGAATCCCTCTGAGTCCTACACAGCATGTTAGACATTCTCCATTAGTTAAGGCACTGACTTTGATTCACTGTCAGAAGTTTGCCCCCTCCCACTTCCCACCCCCTGACTGCCCCCCTCAGAACCCCCAACCCATCCAACCTCCTCGCTCCTTGTCCCATGACCACCCCTCCCGGGACCCCCCACCCCTAACCGCCCCCCAGGGATCCCACCCCATATGCAACCCCCCCGTCTCCTGACTGCCTGACCCCTATCCACACCCCCACCCCCTGACAGGCCCCCTGGGACTCCCTCACCTATCCAACCGCTCCCTGTCCCCTGACTGCCCCCTGGGACTCCTTGCCCCTTATCCAAGCCCCTGCTCCCCGCCCCGTTACCATGCCGCTCAGAGCACCAGGACTGGCAGCCATGCTGCCCAGCCGGAGCCAGCCACTCCACCACGCAGTCTAGAGCACTGGGGCAGGCCGGTGGCTCTCGCAGCCGCGCTGCCCAGCAGGAGCTTGCAGCCCCGCCGCCCAGAGCGCTGGCGGCATGGTGAGCTGAGGCTGCGGGGGAGGGGGGACAGCAGGGGAGGGGCTGGAGGCTAGCCTCCCTGGCTGGGAGCTCAAGGGCTGGGCAGGACGGTCCCACGGGCCGGATGTGGCCCGCGGGCCGTAGTTTGCCCACCTCTGATCTAAGCTGACCCCCTGCATAACATGGACCATGGAATTTATTCCTATAATCGGTCAGTTTTAGGGCTGAAGCTGGATTGTTGGTATCTCTTAATTCATAGATTCATAGATTCTAGGACTGGAAGGGACCTCGAGAGGT